GTCTCTGATGTTATGTATTGGATATCCTTTTCGTTTCCATTTTCTCTAAAACTTCGTTGTTGCTTACGTGTTCAGTCCACGTTATTCTCAACATCATTTGGTTGAATCACATTTGGGTTGCTTCAACTTTCTTCTTCATCTGTGAGGAGATGTTCCAGCATTCACTGCCATATAAGAGGACTGATATTACATAATATAAATATAATATAAAAGAAGGGTAATCAGGAAGATAAATAAATATTTATATTTTCAGTAATCATTGTTTCTAATGAAATTTTCCTGTTTCTTAATGCTTTGCTTAGCTTTTAGAAAGCATGTTTGGCTATCTCAATGCGCCAAGTAGGTCCAAGATAGAGCCCTGAGGAACACCTGCTTTAATACAAAAAGATCTAGAAGAGTGGTCATTCAAGACAACTTTCATTTAAATATTAATTAATAATTATTAATTTAATATGAAATACTGAAACAGTTAAAAAAATTCGTCCAGAAATACCATAACCTTTCAACATGTGAAGAAGACCTGTATGCCAAACTCTGTCAAATGCCTTTCAGATATCTAAAGCAACAGCCCGAGCTTCACCATTCTTATCTGAAGCTTGATAGACTCTTTCAGCAATACTCGTTAATACTGTTGACCATGTTTGCCGTAGTCTCTGACTATGGAATACAATGAAGTCCGTAATCTCTTCACTATCAGAGGTTGGCAGTGTAGATTCGGAGAAAGTAGCGATTGTTAATACTTTAAGTCTTCGATGTCAGTTTGGAAGTGAAGATAATTTGGGAGAAAAAACAAAATGGCTGCCTTTATACGCGTCGCATTGAATATTTCGAGCTTTCTGATTGGTTAACCCTTCTATTGGTGGACTATAAAATGAGTCAGCTCATTTTGGCTAGCTCGCTAGTACTTACAGGGTACCCAAAAATTCCAACAAATACATCACCTGTTGAACCAGAGAAACGAAAGCCATATTGCTTATTTGAAAGAAGACCTTGCGAGGTCAGATGCTTAATCAATAGCTTTGTTTAAATTATTTATATGCGGACTACTGCCCACGTATTTGCTGTTGTTATTTCACCGTTCCGGCCTTTGTGAACTCTAGCCGTCATCAGTTGTATGTTGTAGCCTACAGGGAATTTCAAACAGAGTGGGGTGTAGATTGTTCTCGTCCCACTACCCATGGCTAGGGATATCTCGTCTAGTTCTTATTTTAGTACTACTCGCCCTTATACACACTTCTCGACCCAGGGATTGAACTCACAATTACTATGTTACCAAATTCACGAACCAACGCTTTAATCCACTATGTTATTGTCCCGTGGGACAATTCTGCGTGGAGAACTTGGAGTCTTAAACCTACCCTGCCTGCTGATGAGTGCAGCAGCCGCTTCATGTTTGACTGTATTCACTAAAGATTCTCTTTTGTTACAGCTACTGCTGTTGTAGAAAACCTACCGTCATTTGTCTTTCTTTCTTCTTTAGCGCCTTCCATATCGTATTTTTATGGTGGGGTTGTTAAGGAGGTCCTCATAGCCTAGCATATTTGCTGAGTTGGGCAGTGTGCAGTTAAACTCAGTAGAAATAACGGAGCAGTACTAAAATAACAATTAGACAATATATCCATAGACATGAACAGTGAAACAATTACAATCTACCCTGGTATTTTAAAGAATAGGTTATGTTTGAAATTCCCTGTAGGTTAAGAGGATTAACATACACCTGACGAAAGCCGGAAGGTACAAGACCGAAACATTATGATAACAATACTAAAGATGTCGACAATAGTCCGCATGTCTTCAACAGGGTCTTATTTTTTCTAAGACAAAAACTTGATGTGTTCATCATTTTTCTAAGACAAAATTGTTGTGTTTATCTGAAAATTAATTTTTTATGTGTGAAGTAAAAAACGTTAAGGTTATGTATTACACAAGATCCTGATGATGACATTGTGCTAATAAAAATAAAATGAACATGCATCAACATGGTAATTTTCTTTCTTCTTTTAATAAGGATACCAAAAAACTTATCCGTAATTACAAGAGAATCCTATTAAAAATAAGTAGACAAAACTTGTCTAAGTTATTTAATGAGACATGTCTTAATGAAAGCATGCCGCAAAAATATACGCAATATATATATATATATCAAAATAAAAAGAAAGTACAGTCAGATTTATAATCCAGAGTTCTTTAGCATTTATTTTTAAAAACAGTGCTCGATACACAGAAGAGCATAATATTATAATTATTATTTAAAAATATGTATTCACTGCGTCACAGAAATTACATGTTTCGAAACTAGAACCAAAATCTTAAATTAAACTTAAAATTCAAATTTTAAGTTTAATTTAAGATTTAGATTTTAGTTTCGAAACATGTAATTTCTGTGACGCGGTGAATACATATTTTTAAATAATAATTTTAAAATACACACACATACACACACACACATATATATATATATATATATATGGATATAAATAAATACGGATCGGGAAATGAAAGCAAATTATTGAAAAGGAATGAGATGTGAATGTAGAAATTGAAAAATTGGAAGAACAATAATGCCGTCTGATTCTTTTTTCCTTTTAATATTTTTCTTTCATTAATTATGATTTTCATTCAAGAAGTATTTAGAATAAATGCGCAAATTGGAGATGACTTCAAAGGAAAGCAATAGTCTTGGCACTAACATGGCCAACTTAACTAGATAAGAATTTCAAGTTGAATGAAAGCTTTTGCGAATGTCCGTGGTGACAGAAAGAGTGAGAATAAAAACAGGGTTACTAAAGAATATATAGCATTTCGATTTGTACAGAATTACACGAATGCACTATTTAAGTACGGGTAGGTAAGTAATGCAAATTTTATCGAGTTGATTAAAAAAAAAAAAAATGGCGACTCGAGGTCGAATTCCGCCCGTATTCGTTACGTGCACTTTTTTTAAAATCAATTCCCCCGAAGCAAGGCGATAATGTCACTAAGACTCAAGGGGTTGCTGGAAGGGAAAGAGAATGAAAAGAATTTAGAAGGAGCCGGAAACACAATAATAAAAAGGAAACAAGGGATAAACCGCTACAGTTCAAAACCTCGGGCGATAGGAGAGCCTATCAACTTCTATTATATTTGCATAAATAGCTTTGAATACTTATGAATCCTTTTTTTCTTCAGCTATGCGTTCAATAGTAGGGCTGACTGAATTTTCTTAACTCGAGTCTACGTAAAGGAAAATGAACTACAAAAACAGCTAAAAGAGGGATGGGGTCCGCCAGGTTATCTTGCCAAAGACTCACTTCTACTACAATGTCTGCAGTACATATGGTACTCCAACGATCCACATGTATTATGGGACTCTAGACGTTACGACTATTTAGGTGCGGACGATTAAACTGGCAACCCCAGGTTACACACACACACACACACACACACACACACACACACACACACACACACACACACACACACATATATGAAAAAAAAGCAAAACAACAAATTACTTCTCCAAAAAAAAAAAAATGAAAATCCAGTTGTAAGTAAAAAAAGTTTAAATTCTCTGTAAAAATATCATAAATAAATATCAGTATATTAAGTATTAGGTGCCTTTTTTCCAATTCTCATTTTAGTTTATACAATAAGTTTTGTACTGAATCTTCCTAACAAAAATTTTTTTATCCATATATATATATATATATATATATATATATAATGGACTCTCTCGTCGGTTTCGACGTATGAGGATCTGACAGCTTATCGATTCAGTTATGAAAGTTTGGGCGATAATCTTAAGTGGCATTTAAGACCCGCTAGTGATTTACAAAGGAGGCCACATATGGAGCAAGTGTGAGGATTGTGACATGAGATCACTGTTAGATTGGCTGACCTTTTAGATCTTGCTCTCGTTTCTTGAAGATGATTCAGGCAAGCAGATTGAAAATTGCCGAGTCCACTAAAACACGTTGATCTCCATTCTACCCGCTAAGCGCTCAAGAGTATAATATAATATATATATATATATATATATATATAGAATATGTATATATATATATATATATAGAATATATATATATGTATAGAATATATATATATATATATATATATATATATATATATATATATATATTTAGTCAGCATATCTTTATTCAAACATGCTTCATTGAATAATATAGACATATTGTGTCTACTTATTTTTTTACCGATCCTTTCCAGTTGTCTAATCAGTTTCTTGATGTTAAGATGAAATTCATCAAGGAAGGCACCGTAGTTTTTTTTAACCTATCAACATCTCCTGATACCTTGATCTTGTTCCTTGTTCTTCTCTGTATCCTTTCCCCAAACATGCCTCTTTACTCTTGTTCTCAATCCTCTGTAACCTCTTGTGTGCTAGTGGCACTCCCGCCTTTCTTGAGGTGAATTGCTTAAAAAAAAAAAATAAAAAAATAAAGTACGTTCGATTTTCCCCCGGGATAAATTCCAAAGATAAACATAAAATCTGCTTTCCGTTGTGATTAAAAAACACCATCACAACGGAATGAAGTTTTTATCGCAGTTACAGTAAATTTGTCTTTGTAATTTACTTCTGAAGATGATCTTCGAAAAGATCGAAAGTACTTGGTTAAAAAAAGACTACCGCGTTTTCTTTGATGAATTGTATCTTAACATCAAGAAACTGATTAAACAACTGGAAAGGATCAGTATAAAAATAAGTAGACACAATATGTCTATATTATTCAATGAAACATGTTTTATATATATATATATATATATATATATATATATATATATATATATATATGATAATGTAAAGTTTTAATGTATACTATATTTATCGGTTAAATTGCTCAATGTCAGGGATAGAACGTATGTAAATACAAAAGTGGACAATGACATCAACATCCAGAGGCGACAGTCTGTTTCATGCTAATTGTCAGGGCTGAAGATTGCGTTTAGTATGAAACAAACTGTCGCCTCTCTGTGTTGTCTTCAATGTTCACTTATATATATTTTCATAAGGAAAAGAGAGTGAAAGAAAGAAGAAAAACAGAAAGAAAAAAAGAAATAAAGAGAAAGAAAAATAGAAAGAGATATAAAAAAGAAAGAGAGAAAGAGAAAGGAAAAGAAAGAGAAAATAAAGAAGAAAAGGAAGAAAGAAAAAAGGTGAAACAGAAAGAAAGAAAGAAAGAAAGAAAGAAAAACGGAGAGTGAAGAAGAAATAAAGAAAGAAAAACGGAGAGTGAAGAAGAAAGAAAGAAAAACGGAGAGTGAAGAAGAAAGAAAGAAAAACGGAGAGTGAAGAAGAAAGAAAGAAAAACGGAGAGTGAAGAAGAAAGAAAGAAAGAAAGAAAAACGGAGGGTGAAGAAGAAAGAAAGAAAGAAAAACGGAGAGAGAAGAAAGAAAGAAAAACGGAAAGAGAAGAAAGAAAGAAAGAAAAACGGAGAGTGAAGAAGAAAGAAGAAAGAAAAAATGGAGAGTGAAGAAGAACGAAAGAAAGAATAAAAGAAATACAATGAATTCCACACTGAAAAGGTAAAAAGGATTCTTCTGGGGTGAATAAATTATGACAACAAGAGAAAGCAAACTGCCCAGTGTCGTCCCCGCCTGCTTATCAGTCTTGGCAGCTTGTCCACTTTTCTTTCTTTTACGTTTGCTTGCTGTGTGCGGAGTTAGAAATTATCCTTAGAGCTGTCAAAAATAACAGCCCACCCTTTGCCTTATACGACTGCGTGATGAAGTTGACAACAATCTGGACATGAGTCTGGACGCCTTTTCCTGTCGACCCTCTCCCATCTGGGCTGACGAAACGTAGGCTCACAAACACACATATATCTTTCTCGTCACACGCGTCTCTCTCAGGCGTTTTTTTTTATGCTTGCTTATTGACGAACGAACAGAGATTTTTAGCAAATGTTTGCTATTAATTTAAGGATTCCCTAATAAGAAGAAGGTCTCGTTTTAGGAAGTAAGTGCTTTCACTCCCTAAAGCCAAATTACTAATTGCTTCCGTTGTTGATGTTTGCACTGCCGTACACGTCACTCTGAAAGTTGAGCAGTGATGTATCGCATTTTGTGTATAGATCTAATCTCGTCGGCTGTGGTCTCGTCCACGAGAAAAGAAAACGTTATTTCTGGTGAAGATCAGTAGTGTTTATGTTTGCGAAAGACTTAAGCAACCTGAATTGATCTTTTTGTAATCTTAAAAAGCACAACTAAAAGTTATAGTACTATAATAATGTTTACAGAAGAGACGTCTGCCGTAGAAATAGGGTTACCGCGTTAATCTCATGGACCATTCGCTGGTATTGTGAGTTCGAGTCCCGCCACTTGCCCCAATGTTATAGATCTTGGCCTGCTAAGATTAGTGAATACTTATATTTTCGGTCTGTCTTTTAGTTAAGATAGTTGCGTAGATATTTTTTTCGCTACTTAAGGCAAGTACCTTTGCCCGGCCTGTACCGTCACGGATTTTTTTTCTTGAGTTGAGATTTTCTCGACACTATGACCGGATATTTAAAAAAATGATTAACTATTATCAATTTGGCGTCATCATTTCAAGTTCAAGGACTCTGTCCATCTTTGAACTCTTCAAACATTCAAGAAAGAAAAGAAATCTAACTTGAAAACAAACACGATTTTCTACTTTCTTTCTTAAAAAAATATCAATTTTGATTTGTTATTATCATATATATATATATATATATATATATATATATATATATATATATATATATATATATATATATATATATATATATAAAAATTAATGTTCAGAGTTGAATCAGACTAGGAATCAGTAGTATAAAAAGTGCTCAATGTGAGGTCGAAACCAAGGTCGCGTATTTTATCTGACCTACTAATTTTTAAAGTATATATATATATATAATATTTTTTCTTCTGTCATTTGGTTAACCTGTCAAAGAGCAGAATGAATCAATAACTACCATTAATGAAACTTTTAGTCCTGGATATCTGACAAGTAGACAGCCATTGGGGAAATATATGTGTCTTTGATGCAATTCTGTTCAGCATTGAAAAAATAACAGAAGAGATATTGATAATAATATGCAAAGAAATAACTTACTCAAAATCGTGAAATAAAACTGACTGATTCACATGTTGATAAAAAGAAAGTCACTATAATTTCTCTCACTCACAAAGTGTAGACATTTATTAATAATGATTTCGTCTGACACAAGGCCAGACTAGACGGGAACGTTGTAAGAAAGAACCTATTTCACAAGCAATATTCTTCGAATCAGACTTATAAGCAACCAATCACTCTACGCAAAAACGTTAGCGCAAAAACAGGAATCCTTTGTTTGAATTTTAAACTTAATAGCTCATTATTTTTAATGTTATTGTTGTATTGATTTCTTTCCGTATTGCGTATGTGTAGAACTACATATCGTCTGGACATCTGCCATTAAAATAACCATAGAAAAGCGAGAAGTTAGCAACGTTTCGTCTGTGGGAAAGGTGTTATAGGGTGGAAAATAATTAATCCCTCAGTAGGACGCGTAAACACTTTTGACCTCCATAAATGTTGGAAAGTGTGGATCTGGTCTGATCTAACTCTTGTTAAAGACAGAGAACAGTAAGGTGGGGTCAAGTATTTTCTGGAGCGATAACGCATTTAATTCCAGTGTAACCAGATTTATTTAAAATTAGTTTAAATTTTATATTTACTCAAATATTATACGAGGGATTGCTATTTTTAAAAATATGGACTATTGCTGTCATATATGGCCTTGTGCCCCCGCTGTAAGTCTCGAGGTCCTCGACAAAATCCAGAGACGGATATGCAATATGATAGGTCATGATCTGGCATCTAGTCTACAGTCGCTTTCTCACTAACGTCCCGTGGCTTCCCTCTGTCTCTTCTATAAGTATTTTCACGGCAACTGTTCCGACGAGTTGTTTTCTCTGGTTCCCAGACGGCATGAATTTAAGCGAGCTACTAGGTTGGCATCTCGGTCCCACCCTTTCACTGTCGAAAATGTAATCGTCTCTTCTACTCAAACAGCTTCTTCTCTCGCACTTCCTCTCTGTGGAGTTCTCTTCCTCTTACTTGCTTCCCTGATAACTATAATCTTCAAATATTCAAGTGTAATGTCAATCGATATCTTCTGATGCCTTGATCTTGATCCCCGTCCTTCTTAATAATAATAATAATAATCATAATAATAATAAAACTACTTTATATTTTTCTTTTGAAATTTTACAAAACAAAATTATCGCAATGTACTAGAAGCTCTAATCAACTCCAAATTTGTTAAGCATCTCACCTCGCAGGGTATTCTTTCAGACAAGCAATATGGCTTCTCTAGTTCAAATGCTGATGTGTTAACGGTTATTGCTAAAAGGGTTTTAGCTTTAGATAAGAATGATGAAGCTCGGATGCCTTGGATACTGGTTTTCTTCATAAGTTAAAAGCTTATGGTATTTCTGGACGAATTTTTATCCGTTTCAATCTTTCTTATCAAATCGTGAAATGAAAGTCATCTTGAACGGCCACTCTTCTAGATCTTTTTGCATTAATGCAGATGATGCCCCACCCCCAGTGTTCTATCCTTGGACCTACATTGTTCCTAATTTTCATAAACGATTTTCTCGATGTCATAGGTTCTCAACTCGGTATCGATGCTGATGACAGCTATTTACTAATGATCGTTTCGATAATGTTAAAGTTTCAGCTGATTTAAAAAATAACCTACTGTTAACTGGGGTAAGGAATAGATTGTTAATTTTAACGCATCCAAAACGAAACTCATCTTTTTTAATCGACTTAGAGAACCTGTTTTGCTTTGCATCGGCACAAAATAGAAATGAGACGAAGTTCGCTTGTTATCAATAAGGTCTGCAAGCTGAGTTCGAATTCCGATTGAAACAATTCCCATCATGCTCTCATTAATAACCTTAGGAAAAAGCATGAGACGTTCTCTCCCTGCACGCTTTCCCTTTAATCATGGTCTTTCCATTTGTGTGTTATGATCTTAAACGGGGTAGGGGAGTTAGTAAGAACTTAAATAGACAATATCCTTTCCTTCGGGCGAGGGCTAGGGCATTACCTAGCCCCCTGAGGCGTGCCCAAAAGGGAAAGTGCTGAGAGGGCTTCAGCAAATTCTTGTCGCCATTCCGCGTACGCACTGGCTACCAATCAACTTTATACTCGACCTTGGGTCATATTCCGTTCAAGTGAGCGTGTAGATAAATATCTGCATTATCTTTCCAATTAAAAGAAAAAATGGTTGTTATATCCATTGTCAGCTTTGACAGATGGAAGCCATTTTATATTGAAATGTAGTGCTTATACAAGTTTGCATAAGTACTACATAAAGCGAGCGTGATTTGCACGACGCAAACTACGTACCATTCAAAGAATTATTTCGATTGACAATTTGGTATCGTTTTTCCTGCATAAAAACAAAATCTCCATCAAAGATGCAGAATAACAAACCATAGAATATTTCTAAGACTAAACTCGACAGCTATTCACTCCGTTCTAAAAGCGAGTGATAGCGAGGCTAACAATTAAAATCGACATCAGCGAGTACATCTAGACAGCTCTCGTTACCGACAAGCTGAGGTCGCAATTCTAGCACCTCCAGCAAAGCAAATGTATCGAATGCTCGCCAATTGATCAGTAATCAATATCCAGGCAATGCAAAATCCTTCGAATGTCGCAGTAGATCCGGTCAACAGGTCGTATATGTCTAGATATGAATTTCCTTATAATAAAAGCAGAAATGAGTTTCGCAAATGCAGAACTGTTAAAGTTCAAATTGACCAAGGAAAACCGAACGATTTTGATTTGTCTAAATTTGTTTTATTAATTTGCTCAAGATGATCAACTTGACCTGAGATTCGTGCTTTTTTTTGTCATCTAGGTTCGTTGATTTCATACATTTTTCTTATTTCAAATAAATAAGCATAAATATGAATGGATAACATGTTACAGATATATATCTTCCTTTGATTTACTAAAATTTGCTTAGTCTTGTACAGCGTTTCTCAAACTTTTTACCCTTTCGTAACCCTAAAAGTAAATTACATGTCTCAAGGAACCCCTGCGCAAAAACAAAATTATATATCATATCTTTCTTATTTTATTTACATCGTTGTTCACATGGTAAATATCATAGTATATATTCTTGAATAACTGGTTTAAGGAAAAATTAATACTTCTTTGTCAACTTTTTCGGTAATGCTAAATAAAATTCATACTGTTTGTTTATAATACTTTATCAGGGAGTTTTCATTCATACAAAAAAAATTCTAAACTGAAACGTAAAAAATAAACATAAGTAACTAATATCTTATACCTATAATATAAATATGATATACCTATAATATAATACCTATAATATAATATGATATACCTATAATATAAATGTAAACAGAACGAAAACAGATAATTGCTGCATCAGTTTTTTTATTTTTTGTACTTTGCTGGCAATGGTGAAAAGACCTTGGGTAAATCAAGGCAAAATACCCCGTTACAGTATTACAATAACCAAGAATATATTGTGTGTGTTTAGTAATATTACGTATAAGAAGTTAAATAAAAAATCAAAAATGCATTAGCTTATCTCACCTGTTCTCACGGAACACATGGGGACCTTTTGCGGAACCTTAGGGTTCTGGGGAATCCCGCTTAAGAAACACTGATCTAAACTTTTTCATCTGGTATTTCTTCCTCAAATTTTCTCACTTCTTTCTCTTGACATAATAAACATAAGTAACCAATGATTGTTATAGTTTTAATAACATAATAGGTTAGTTAGGATGAT